AAGGAAAGGCTTTGAATCTGATGAAGAAAAAAGAGAGGAAAATACAAATGAAATGAAAGTGATTCTTAGATTCCAGAACCCATGTGCATTGAATCCGTTAAAGATAAGTGAGGCAATATATAAAATAGTAGGTGAAGTGAATACAGTCAAAACGCTAAGAGATGGCAATCTATTGGTATTATGCAGAGATAGAGATCAGGTGCAGGGACTAATGAGAAGCAAGACGTTGTTGGGAAAAACAATCAAGCCGCAAATATGGCAGGAAAGAGGAAAAGTAATGGGAGTAATATATGGAGTATCAACTGATTTGACGGAGGAAGAGATTAAAGGTAATATAAAAGGAGCTCGAGTGATTAAAGTGAAACGTCTGTTTGCTACAAGAGAAGGAGTTAAAAGTCCTAGTAAATCAGTTATGTTAGTACTAGAAGAAGATAGATTACCTGAAAAAATGATGATTGGGTTTGTCAGCTATACAGTTAGGCAATACATTCCTCCACCAACCAGGTGTTACAAATGTCAGAGGTTCGGACATATTGCTGCTGCTTGCAGAGCTAAGGCCAGGTGTTCCAAGTGTGGAGGGGAGCATGAATATGGGAAATGTTCTGAAGGAACTAAGTTAAGGTGCTGTAACTGTGGTGGGGAACACAGTGCTGCATTTAAAGGATGTGAAGCTCATAAAAGAGCAGTACAGGTACAAAATATACGTGTCAAAGAAAAAGTTACCTATGCAGATGCAGTTAAAAAGGTAAGTAACTCAAATGTTAATGCTAAAAGTATTTCTGTGCCTCACACTCCACCTCAAAAAACAGAGCAAACCCAGAGCCTGAATACCTCAGGAAATACAATGATTGTGGATAAAAATAAATTTGTTGCATTTATTGTGGAAGTAATAAATTGTTCAGCTCAGACAGATAGTAGAACAGAGCGAATTAAAATAATAATCAAAGCAGCAGAAAAATACCTTGAGATGGAAGACCTGTCTTTTGAGTCAATCAGTGCAGTTTTAACAGGGATTAATGAAAGTCAACAGTCCAGGAGTGGTGACAATTGATGGTCTTATCCATATTACAGTGGAATGCAAGAAGCTTAATTGCTAATGGCCAAGAATTAAAATATTTTATTGAAAGACAGAATGTTAAACCAAATATAGTATGTATTCAAGAAACCTGGTTAAAACCATCACTTGATTTTATTCTTAGTGGATATATTGAACTACGTAAAGATAGAAACCCAAATGTAGGAGGAGGTGTTGCCATATTTGTTCAGCAGGGAATTAATTATAAAGTTTTAAATATAAATGAAGAAATAGAAGTAATAGGGATTGAGGTATGGATTAGTAAATCAAAATTTAATATAATAAATTATTATAATCCATGTAAAAAAATAAGTAGAGAAATACTGGATAGTATTTATGTGAAGGAAAATGTTAAAAATATTTTATGTGGAGATTTTAATGCTCATAATACCTTATGGGGAAGTAAAAGGAATGATGAAAATGGAAACATAATTGAGGAATTTATGGATGATTATAACTTAACTTGTCTAAATGATGGAAGAGGTACTAGATTTGATGTAGGGCATGGAGTAGAATCTGCAATTGATCTTACTATAGTCTCAGATCAGATAGCAGGAATAAGTCAATGGGAAGTAATGAATGATAACTCCCTTGGAAGTGATCATTATCCTATTCTGCTTAAATTGAATAATTTTAAAGTAGCAGTTGAAGAAAATTGGTATCCTAAATGGAGAATGAGGGAAGCTAATTGGGAAATGTACAAAAAGATAGCAAGTGACATGTTTATGGAGATTATGCCAAATTTAAGCAATAATATTGAAGAATTAAATTCAATGATTACAAATATAATATACGAATCTGCAGAAAAGGCCATTTGCAAATCTACTGGATTGAAGAAAAAGAAAATGGTTCCTTGGTGGAACAATGAATGTAAAGAAGCTATTAAAGTTAGGAATAAAGCATTTAAAAAGTTAAAAATAAATCATTCATTTGATAATTTAATATTATACAAAAAAGCACAATCTAAAGTTAGGAGAACAGTTAAACTATCAAAAAAGAATTATTGGAGAAGTTTTTGTAGTACAATTGGAATGGACGTTAAAATAAATGAGATCTGGGGAATGATTAGAAAGATGGGAGGAATTAGAAGGGATTTTTCTTTACCTATAATTAAAGATGATCAGTGTGAAGCTATAACAAACAAGGAAAAAGCAGAGATGTTTGCAAGGTCCTTTGTGAAGTTGCATAGTTCAAAAAATTTATCAAATGAAGAATTATCATGGAGATTGGAAATGATTGAAGATAATAGAGAAATTTTAAATAGAAAAGAGATTGATGGAAGTATTTTAGATAAAGAATTTACATTGTTTGAAATTAATAGAGCATTGATAGGAGTTAAAAATACATCTCCAGGTAAAGATGGTATATGTTATAGGATGATTGAACATTTATCAGATGATGCTAAAGGAATAATTTTAAAGTTATACAATAAAGTATGGAAACAAGGTGAATTGCCCTTAAGCTGGAAGCATTCAATCATTGTACCAATATTAAAGCCAGGTAAGGATAAAGGAGAGGTTAAAAGTTATAGGCCTATAGCTCTTACTTCTAATTTATGTAAATTGATGGAGAGAATGATAACTAGGAGATTAATGTATGAAATAGAAAAAAGAGATCTTTTATCCCCTTATCAGAGTGGTTTTAGAAGTGGACGGACAACAGTAGATCCAATTGCTTGTTTAGAAAATGAAATAAGAAAGGCTCAGGTAAATAAAGAAATTCTCTTGGCTACATTTTTTGATATTGAAAAAGCATATGATATGCTTTGGAAGGAGGGTTTATTAATTAAGATGAATAAAATGGGAATCAAAGGAAAAATGTTTAATTGGATTAAGGATTTTTTAAAGAATAGAAAAATAGAAGTAAGAGTTGGGGTAAATTATTCAAACATTTATGATATACAAAATGGAACTCCACAAGGTAGTGTATGTAGTCCAGTGCTTTTTAATATAATGATTAATGATATTTTTGATAATATAGATTTTAGAATTAATAAAGCATTATATGCAGATGATGGGGCATTATGGGTGAGAGGAGGAAATCTTAGTTATTTAAAAAATAGAATGCAATCAGCAATTAAAACGGTAGAAAGATGGTCACACGAATGGGGGTTTCGTTTGTCTGTTGAGAAGACACAAGTATTATGTTTTTCAAGGAAAAGGGATAATCCAACAGTAGATCTTAGATTATATGGGCATGAATTGAAACAGGTAAATATGATAAGGTACCTTGGTGTATGGTTTGATGAAAAACTTTCATTTAAGATACATATGCAGAAGATTATTGATAAATGTAAAAAAGGTATTAATATATTGAAATGTTTGTCAGGGAATGACTGGGGGGCAACTAGCTCATCCTTGAAAAGAATATATGATGTTTTAATTCGATCTGTGTTGGACTATGGATGTATTGTTTATAAATCAGCTGCAAATTCTTTGTTGTTAGATTTAGATAGAATCCAAGCCAAAGCGCTTAGGATATGTAGTGGTGCTTTTCGAACATCTCCAGTTCCTGCTCTTCAAGTGATTACTGGAGAAATGCCACTGGACTTAAGGAGGATGAAACTGTCAATAAATTACTGGTTAAATTTACAAGGGCATGAGGAAAATCACCCTACTAAACAGATATTCAGAGAATGTTGGGAACATGGCCATAATATAAGGAGTTTTGGATGGGAAGGAAATATTTATGCAGAGTATTCTGGGATAAGTAATATAACATACTGTAAAACTGTAAGTACATCTAAAATTGCTCCATGGTTTTTCGAAATGCCAATAGTAAATTTAGAAACTAAAAAAATAGAAGAGTCTTGTGGAGGTTTGTATCAAATTATTCAGCAGCATTTAGAAGTAAGGTATGAAAATATGACACAAATATATACAGATGCATCAAAAGAGGAAAATGGTAAAACAGGAGTAGCAGTATATATTCCAAAAGAAAATATTTCTATCAAGAGAAGAACAACAGATAATTTATCAATTTTTTCAGCAGAGATGTTGGCAATTATTTTAGCATTGCAATGGGTGCTGGAGGTGAAGCCTAGAAATGTAGTTATCTGTTCAGATTCAATGTCTTGCCTGACTAGTTTTAAAAGTGGAAAATCTGAAAGCCGTCAAGATCTTTTAGATGAAGTCAGTTATTTAATGTATGGTATAAGGCAACAAAATATAAGTATTCAATTCACATGGGTTCCAGCACACAAAGGAATCTTAGGTAATGAAAAAGTAGATAAGTTAGCTAAAGAAGCAGTTAAAGTAGGAGAAATTGAATATGATGTCCCGCTAAGTAGAACAGAAATAAAAGTAATTATTAAAGATAAAATAAATAAGGTATGGCAGAAGAGATGGAATTTAGAAAAAAAAGGAAGACATTTATATAAAATACATAAAGATATTAGCATAGGATATAACAGTATAATGAGTAGAAGAGAGGAAATATGGATAAACAGGTTAAGGATTGGGCATACTAGTTTAAATGCAGGTCTAAAAATAATAGGGAAACATCCAACGGGTAATTGTTGTTATTGCGGAGAAATCGAAGGAGTAGAACATGTGTTGATCTATTGTAGCAAATATACAAAAGAGAGGAAAGAACTGGAAAGGGTAATGGGGAGTTCAGTAAAGATGGCAGATTTATTAGGGAAGCATCAATCAGATAAGATAATTAAAGCACTTATTAAATATTTAAAAGATACAGAATTAGCTGGGAGAATTTAGTGTGTGTATGTGCGTGTGTGTAAGTATAGATAGAATTTAGTTTCATGAAGATATAAAGATATACAGACATTATATTTCTGAATTACATCTCCGTCCAGTTGATGGCGGTAATGCACACAGGATGCAAACTGCCAGAAAACTCAATAGAAGAAGAAGAAGAATGCTGGGTCCGCGACCCGCAGTTTGGGAAGCCTATCTGTGGTCCTCCATCCCCGGACACTCCCCGACCAACGGCTCTGCTAGCATAGCTATGCTCGCTTCGTTGAGTCGTACAGGGTCTCTAAAGTTGGTGAAATCAGTAACTCAGTGCGAATAAAAAAGCAGAGTGCTGTTTTGTGAGTGTTTTCTCTCAGACAGCGCTAAAGGAGGTGATGCTAGGGGTCGCTGGGATGACGGGCAGGTAGGAACAAAGAGTCTTTAAACCATTAAATCTGAAAACGACTAGCTTTGCAAATGAGTAGCTAATGCTAACGTCATGTTAGCTTACCAAATTAACCACATAGAAGAGAAAGATAGCACCTTGGTTTACATGTTTACATGCAAAGTAACTCATTAATAGTCTTTTTTCTGCTACCGTTTTGTTTTGGATACTTAAAAGATTTGGTTTCTAATGGTAAAAAGTGTCTAATCTTCTTCGTTAGCAAAGTTACGTAGGTGGCTGAGATCCTAGCTATACTAGTCTGTCTAAACTTTGAACAAATTCGTGTACTTTACCTACCCATCCTCTCCTTTCAATAGGTTTTATTTATCAGTAATTCAATTGTTCAATAGCTTAGAAACGTTTATCACAACAGTTTGCTATGAATGGGTCAACTTCAACACCGTCCTTCTGTGATCATCTAGTTACCATAATGTTTATTTAGTTACCTATACAGCTACTATCTGGTGGTTTTAGGTGCACCTGTTCTCCAGGACACCTGAATCAAACAAATAGCTGGATATCAGACCTATGCAGAGCTGAATTACACACTGATTAGGGAATTCAGCCCTTTTATTATAGTGTGTTTAAGCAGGGATAAATCTAGAAATTGCAGTATAGAAGAATGAATTTGTAGAAGTTATCTGGGTCCTAAATAAGCTGCTCAGACCCAGAGCACCATCCTTCCATCATCAGTGAAATGTTCCTTTCCTGACCTGCTTTGGTTTGTGCCAGCTTCTTTGGAAGGCCCACATACTTTTTGTTTTTGCTGAATCATTCTCTGAATTTGCAATTGAGGCTTTAGATGTTCTGGGTTTGTTTGTGTTATGGAATCACCCTTTTTAGGAAATTAAAATAAAAGTAGCCCTTCAAGGACAGATCTAGGCTGAACCTTGCATGTTTTATTTACTTGTTGATGGTTGTGATCATTTTGATATACTTAATTACTATAATTCTAATTTAGATTTAAACCCTTTACAAACCTAAAAGAAAGATATGTTTTTTTTTCTTTTTATTTACATCGGTGCAAGACTTTTTGCTTTTTGAGATCATTTTGCATACGATCCCAAATGCTCCTGCCTGATGTTCTGAGAACAGTTGTATTTAAGTCATTTATTAGGTCTACTAGTCAGACAGTAATCAGGTCTGCAGTGACTCTGGGGAAAATGGAAGTGAATCAGTGTGATTTAACCCAGTTATTAATTTATTTCTTAATTGGATGGTAGGTGACTCTTTCACTTAGGCTATGGTTTGGAAATTTCATTCAGGTCGTACTTTAATATCACTCTTTAAGTGTGATCGAAGCATAAACAGAAGAACCCTAAGAGGCAGAATACTTGTTCACATAGTGGTGTGTTTATATATATATATATATATATATATATATATATATATATATATATAATGTGTGTGTGGGTGTGTGTTTAACATCAGTGTCTCACTAGTCTGACCAAATTAGGTGATGTCCGTACAGTGAGTAACAGTGAGTTCATTATTCCTATTCCTCTTGTCACAGCTGCTGACATGCATCCGACTTCAGATATATCAGTTATGTGAGAAATGATAAACATGGTCTTAACCTGCATACCAAGGGCAGGAACAAGGGAAGGCATCTACTTACTTGTTTTATTGTCTGATGTGTCGCAGCATTGCGAATGCCCTGGTCAGTGCAGTCTGTGAGAGGTGTAAAAGCGGCTTTGCTCCAACTGAGAAGATTGTTAACAGTAATGGAGAGCTTTACCACGAGCAGTGCTTTGTTTGTGCCCAGTGTTTCCAGCAGTTTCCAGAGGGACTCTTCTACGAGGTATTACTCATGCATACTACATAATTACAGTCTTCTTCTAAATTTCACAATTCAATACAGTAGTGAGTAATACCTGCTGCACAGTGTGCAATAAACCTCCTCAATGTTTCTCTTTTACAGTTTGAAGGCAGAAAATACTGCGAACATGACTTCCAGATGCTCTTTGCACCTTGCTGCCACCAGTGTGGTAAGTGGTGGCTAACTTTAAATGGTTGTTTAGTTTCTTCCGTGTTCAAGTCTAAAATAATTTTAGAAATACAGTCATCACTACTGGGAGTGTGAGGAGTTTGTTTTGACAGTGGTAAAATCAATAGTTTACAGATTTCTGGTTTTGGTTGGTTATGTAGCTTGACTACTATTTTTGCAGAGGTTTACTTTTATCCCATTGTTCATCTTGAAGTATCCATCTAATATTCCTGCTTAGAACCTGCAGGACAAGAATTGTTTCTGAGTCTAATTTAGATTATATATATATTTTTTCAATTTTTCCTTTGTCTCTAGAAGGACATCATAAAACTGTAGCAAAGGGCATTCGTTCTAAATCCTGCAGTGGATTAAAAAACAAAAAAAGTGGATTTTCATTCTCAGTTCAATCTGGAGCTGATTTTTCTTTCCTCCCAGGGGAGTTCATCATTGGTCGTGTCATTAAGGCCATGAACAATAGTTGGCACCCCGACTGTTTCTGCTGCGACATTTGTCAGGCAGTGCTTGCAGATGTGGGATTTGTCAAAAATGCTGGCAGGTGAGTAATCTCAACTTATTAAAGTCTAAAAAAAAAACCAGCATGGCAGCATTTGGAACAGATTACTTCTCTCGCCCAGCTTGTGACTCACTTTGCATTTTAGCAAATAATGGAATTTTAAGCAGCTGTGATGGAGTGTGTCAAAAAATATCTTGATATATGAAATGTTTTTGGCAGCCCTGTTATTTGAGTGGATTTTATTTTTTTTTTTTCTTCCCTCAGGCACTTGTGTCGCCCATGCCATAATCGAGAGAAGGCACGAGGTTTGGGCAAGTATGTCTGCCAGAAGTGCCATGCTATCATTGAAGAGCAGCCGCTGATCTTTAAGAACGATCCATATCACCCGGACCACTTCAACTGCAACAACTGCGGGTTAGTGCCAGTGGCTTCGTTTTGTTCTCCACATTGTAAAGAAATCGTCACAACCCTAATGTCGGAACACCAATAAAAGATAAAAGGTGTTCAAAGTTTAACAAACATCTTTTTGCTTTCTAGAAAAGAGTTAACTGCTGATGCAAGAGAACTAAAAGGGGAGCTCTTCTGTTTGCCCTGCCACGATAAGATGGGGGTTCCAATCTGTGGCGCCTGCAGGAGACCCATTGAGGGGCGCGTTGTCAATGCCATGGGCAAGCAGTGGCATGTTGAGGTTCGTGACTGTTGCTCTCCCAGATCTTGATCATTTTGAATACGCTTTATTACATTTATAACCTGATGAGCTTGATTGTAGCTAAGATGAAGGAAAAAAGTATTAGTTTGTGAAGCGAGCAAGGCAGCACAAATATTATATATATTGGCCTGTAGGAGTCACTTGAATCGTCTCTTGAGATGTCTTAGTCTTTAGGACGAAAACTATTATTAGTCTTAATCACATTTTATTCATTGCGATATGTGATAGTTTTAATCGGTTTTATGTTGCAAAAAAACAAGTTAATCTTTACAATTTTGAATAAAAAGCAGATTCTTTACCAGACTGACAGCTCTTGCCTAGATCTACAATAGCTAGATATAGAATGCTGATTCATCATTGCCGTTGGGCAGAAAACTTTGATTTATAGAATTCAAAGAAACGTTTTTATGAATTAATTCCTACTTTAATAAAAAGTTTCTCACAAAAGTTGTGAAAATAACAGATATAGTTAAACACATCTTAGTAGTAAATAGACAAGCTAACAAAATGTACAATAAAGGAATGGTTTTAGATATACAAAGTTTAAATCCCAAAGCAAACACTTCCTGATCTACTATGAACTATGCATTATACACAGATCAAAAAAATCTTCATTACTTTAAAAGAGCAAAGAACAAAAACATTTTTTCTTTCTCCTTTGGCAATTTTGGCTTTATTTTTAAGAATTTACCCCTTTGTTAACAACGGCTCAGGGTTAAAAGTAGATTTCAATTCAAAAGGGTTTGATATAAAAACATACAGAGAGATCCTACATTATTGCCTTGTAATGTCATGTTAACCCGGACCTAAATAAAACGTTGAAATATTCAAAGGAAACATATAAAATGTTTTAATGACAATAGAAGGAAACATTTACACGGCTGATACTGCTTAGCAGATTACAGCACAATGATGCATTTTAAATGTCTGACAGACCACCCGCTAACATTATTATTTAGTCTTGTCTCGTCAACGAAAACTTACACCATAATTTTTTATTCATTAAAGATCCATGTTGGGCTCATCAGTTTTCGTTATCCTTATGAAAAATAGAAGCGTCAACGAAATAATTTCGTCATCTTTGACGAAAACAACACTGATATAAATACCCTGAACTGAATCGAGTTAAATTCTAAGCGATTAGTTTGCTTATCTGTTGCATGTTCCGTATGGCTACGCAATAGCTACATCTTGTGAAAAAAGAAATCCCCCCAACTGACAGGCTCCCCTTAATTAGCTTTTCTATTTGACTGCATAATGGGCCAAATGTTGTTTTTAACAACCAAAATTTCAGCTTTAATATCAGCCTGCTTCAGTTTAAAGAGTTTTACATGTAGAAATTTCCAACTAATTAGCAGCTACATTTCTGTTGCAGTTGGATTGAAACCAGCATCTCATCAGTTTCACTGTTATTTGGCTTTCTGCAGAGTCCCCTTAGTAACTATTGTTTCTTTTCCAGCATTTTGTTTGTGCCAAATGTGAGAAACCTTTCCTTGGTCACCGCCATTATGAGAAAAAGGGGTTGGCTTATTGTGAGACTCATTACAACCAGGTAAGAAGACAGAAGCCGTCTTTGAATGACATGACTAACATGGCATTACTGGTAAAGAGAGAAATAATTGATTTGCTGCTTCACCTTGTTTCTCTGTCAAGCTCTTTGGGGACGTGTGTTATCACTGCAACCGTGTGATTGAAGGCGATGGTGAGCATCGGTGTGATAAAGCACATAATTAGGACCTCATATGGTTCAGTAATTTACAAAGTATTGCTTTAGGTTACAGAAGCTGAATCTTTTCTTCATTTTATTTTATTCTATGCACCCCCCCACAGTTGTGTCTGCTTTAAACAAAGCCTGGTGTGTCAGTTGTTTCTCCTGCTCCACCTGCAACACCAAACTCACCCTCAAGTAAGTATTGAAATGTGTTATAAATATATTCACAAACAACTCTTTGACCACATGTTTGTGCTCTTCATTTCCTTTAATAATCTCTATTAATACTTCCTTGTTCATTTTTTTGTGGTTCTCCAACACTACTTCTTTCTTACTCCATTTTCTTCCCATGTCTTCTTTTACACGCCTCAATCGATGCTTTTATGACACCTCAGAGATAAGTTTGTTGAAATTGACTTGAAGCCAGTGTGTAAGCATTGCTACGAGCGCTTGCCTGAGGAGTTAAAGCGCAGACTCACCCGACGTGAGCGAGACGCTAAAGACAGCAAGAAAAAGCCAACTATCTTCCTGTAGCCTCTTTTCTAAACCGCTGCCTCCCTCTCTCCTAGTGGTTATCTTTTTTTTTTTTTTTTACTTATTTTACTGTTGCTGTTCAACTTCTTGTCTTCTTATGTATTTCTTTGGTAATCAGGTTTGTGTTGATGGCATGAAACTAGCATGAATCTAAAAGGTGTGTATGCATGCAGAGCTCAACTGGACTGCTGTTAAGATTCAAAAACAATTCTTTTTGACTACAAGGTCAGACAAAAAAACCCCACTAAACTAGGTGTAAGGTGTTTTGCTCAGATGTTTTGTTACCCAATCAACAGTCTGACACCCAACATACTCCAGTGTTTTATTCCTTTTTTCCCTCTTTGCAGGAACAAGTTTGTAGAGTTTGACATGAAGCCTGTTTGTAAAAAGTGTTATGAGAAGTTTCCGCTTGAGCTGAAGAAAAGGCTCAAGAAGTTGGCCGAGTCATTGGGACGGAAGTGAGCCTCCACCTGATAACCACCTGTAAGGCCTTTTTCTGTGGTAAAACATCTGGGAAATATGTTATGGTAAAACATAAAGCCTCCTTAGAAACCTAAATAAAGGAGATTTCTGGATTTCAAATGTCGCTAGCAGCTGTGCAAGTTGATCCAGCTTTATTAAAACCAAACCTACTGACCCCATAAGATGAGATTCATTGAACATACCTTCATACAAATGTTTGTCATTAAATTACGTGACACTCATCTTTTGAAATACAGTTTTTCTGTTGAAATGTTTCGATGGTACATTCCCATAACTTGATATTTTTCTCTATGGAGTGTTTTCTAATGTTTAACTCTATCTGCCCTTTAATGTCTCCATATTAGCCATAATGTGTGCCTGTTGTGAAATATATATTTTAACTGTATCCCTGATTACATTCGTGCCTTAAAAACAAAAACTGCTTTAATGGGATTAGCTGCTGTAATCCAACCTAATTCAGTAATTTACCCATTATAGCTATTTATCTGTGTTTGTCTTTCTGCTGAATACAAAACCTCTTCAATGCCTTTGTATCGTTAACCAAATAACTGTATTTTTCAGAAAAATAGGCTTTTGAGCAAATCTTTAAAGTATTATGTATTATAATATCAAAAAGGAATATATGGTGTCTGTATCATAATGTTAAACTAACAGTTGTCTTAAACATGTAACCCTACTAGACGACATGACAAAGGTGCTTCTGTGTTCATATAACCACATGATTCGAAATCCATTAATCTATGCTTTATGACTTTGATTTTATATTCTTATAACTGTAAAGGCTTTGGGTTGCTAAATAGTTTTGGTTTAACCTTTTAACATTTCAGAGCTAAAAAAAAAAAAGTTTGAATGAGAGCAAATGAAATTATATTCTAGCAGCTTTGAGGTGAAAATGTCACTAACAACTCCTCACATTGCTTTGGCTATTTCTAAATGTCAGTATGTGCTTAAGAACAAGGCTACACCAAATAAGATTTGTTGAAATGAGGATTTTACTGTGGAACACTTTGTGTTTACATTTAATTCACCAGTTTGCCTTTGATTAGCATGAAATAAAGAATTGCATTTTTACTCCTTATGCATTGTGTTGAGCTGCCTTATTCACAATCAATAAAGAATTAGGAGTATATCCATTTTTAAATCAAATTCAAATCAAAGTTTATTTATATAGAACTTTACAACAACACCAGGGAGACCAAAGTGCTTCACAGAAAGATAAAAACATTGCAAAAAAAATAAAAATAAAATAATTTTCATTATTTAACATGAGAAAAAACAGAAATAATGGTCTGGACTGTAGCCACTTGTTTAAAAATAAAAATGCTTAAATCTTATTCTCATTTTTATAAATTACCAGTATTTTGTCTAACGTTTTAAGTTTAATCATCATTAATTCTTATCTCTATGAACTGTTAAATATGCAATAGAAATGCCATATAGGATGTGGTTAATAAACAGAATCCTCTGATTGTATCCAACTAATGCTGTGGGAAGACTTGGTGTATAATTGTCTTGTGCTCATACATAAATATTGCTTCACTAATTAACTTCTCCTGACATAAAGAATGCTTTATTGAGGTTGCTAACCTCTTTAGTAAATTTAAAACTGACTGTTTCACTCATGAATAAGGTGTTCTGAATTATTATATGACTCACCTTAAGTTAACAGTTATAGTAGACTGGGAAGCAGTCTTTATTTTATTTTAGGACTTAAAATGAGGCCCTCTAGAAAAGCAATGAGCTGTAATTGCTTTAAAATCCAAGCATCTATTGTAAAACACTTTGTATAAAGTATCAAATGGACTATTACTATATTTAAGCTTCAGTTCAGCTATGAATCAATATTTTCTTGGGGTGAGTAATGATTTTTAGCTAATTTCCTTGAAACCAGGACCATACGTCTGAGATGTAATGAAAACATGACATTTCAACAACTAAATATCACAGTGCTGCCTGCTTATTAAAGTCATACAAAACCAGCCAAAAGTTCAAAGAATATTTTTACCTCAAACAGCAGAACAACAGCTTTGAACTTCTTAATTTCTACCCGACATGCAGCTGTTAACACAGACTGGGAGTAGATGAGTAATAATGAGCGGCGTGTTGAAGGAACTTCGATGGCTGGTTCTTAGAAGTTAATGGCAGCATGTTCCTGGACTGTGACCGGAAAGGTGAGACAAAACTCAGAAAGTGCAGTTTAAAAGATGCCCATTCCCCAAATGTCATGCCCAGGAGGGCTTTCAGATCTTCTACATCACCAAAGACCAGAGAAGAGCCATCGAGTTTATTGTCTTTTACTGCATCGATGTACTTTCTCTCCAAATCCATTCTTTCCATCTGAAACAGAGAATATAAAACATGGAGGGGAAAAGATGAGCCGATTAATAATCTTGAGGCAGAGAAATGTCATCAGAAACGGTTTTGTTACCACTGAGGTTACTGAGAAAGGCAAAAGGAATACCCATTAGCTACCAGTGGAAAACGGTAAAGTAAAAATGAAAATAGGAAGGTAAGAAAATGTCTACAGTGCACTATAATCACGTAAAAGTTACACCGACTTGATTCTTCTGACATCTTTAAAGGAGTGACTTTAAATACGAACTCACCTCTTTACAAATATCATCAGTGGTCATTTTGAGGAGAGTTGTGATCGGAAGTGGAGCTATGTTCCTCATCCAGCCAGAATCCTCCAGCCTGGATGTCCCTCTGATAAGAGCCAGCTCCCTCTTGATTGACTGATCCAGATTCACCATTGCCATCTGAAAGATTTCCAGGTTCTTTAGGGTGAACTCGAACTCATCATCCTTGAGTAAAGCTTCAAACACCTCGGGGTCCCTGTCCTGCTCCAGGAGGTCCTCGATATGTGCCCGCATCACGTATAGCTCCTCTCTGGACCTGCTGAAGACCTCCCACAGGGTCTTTGAACCGTCAGGGCTTGTGTTCCGTTGATCAATAGCTGCTCTCTGCTTTTCATCCTCCACACACTGGATGATCCAGCTGAATCGACATGGCCATTGGTTGGCTAGGACCACCCACGCTGCTGTATGTTCCGGATCAGGAAGCTCAGTTTTCAAGACCTTCATGATGATCAAAGTTACCCAGACCGAGTTGATCATCCTCTTCATCGAAATGGCATCATCTAACATGTACTTGTTGAGCTTTTTTTCCCCATTGTTCAGGATTTTCCAAACTGTTTTCTCCAATTCGTCTTCCTGCACATCCAGGATCTCTGTGTTTGAGTTGATCAGTGGATTTGACTCCTTTGGTTCCTCAATCTCCACCATTTGCAGATCTATTGAAGATGTCTTTCTCCTGTGTGCGCTCTTACCTAAGGGAGGATCTCTGGAGATTCCCGAACTGTTGGTAAGGTTGTAAAATAAGCTGCGCTTTGCTTTTTCACACATTGGTGGGACTGTGAAGGCCAGGGTGACGATGCGGTTCAGGAGAGCATGAGCTCTGTCCTCTTTGCAGAAGCAGCTTTCTGCAAATTGTACTTTTTCTAACAGAACATTTGGATTCACAGCCAGGATGGAAAGAACTGGGCTCTCCTCATCTGAAAGTAAAATATTGATGGCCTCCAGGACTGCAACAATCTTCTTGGGGGAGCAACGGTCCAGGTTAGTAATTTTCAACACGATGCGTATCCTTTTCCTTTCAAACACCTCCATGAATTTAATGAATTGAGTCAGAAACCAAATTTCCTTCCTGACTTCATTCATGAATCCCAGTTGGCTGCTGATCCGATCATTGTCCATTCCCCTCTTAATGTTCTGATCCTGGCTGAAGATGAGGTTCTTGGCCATCAGAAAGATGAACCTCAGAGCACTCGCTGCTGGGACTCCTAATGAGGCAATGACGAAGCCCTCCAGTACACCCACCGCACCGTCCGCTTTGGTCTCTTGCTCATCTGGTTTTACTTCAGCTTTAGGAAGACCCCAAACAAACAAGACGACAAGGAGGACTGTTGGGACAATGAGGATGGATAGGATGAAAAACCACAGAGGGCAGCAGCACACCTTCTTGGAAACCCAGTTGTTGGGGCCATCTTTTACCTCCTAAAGTTAAAAAAGGAAACCCAAGGGGAGGAAAGGTTATTATCCTCTGTTGTGTTTTAGGATCTCGTATCTAGATGAGGAAATTTCAGTTTTATATCAGTTTGTTGCTCAAGATTTGTTTTGAAAACCATTAAACTGCTGGAAGACAATTTGATAATAATAATGTATTGAATCCATTTCCATGTTTTTATGCCTTAAAAACATAAAAAAAGAAAAGAAAAACACCAAAGTTGTTCTTAAGTGAAGAATAAACAAAGAGAACTGACAAACCTTTTCCTTTAATTCGTCCTCTTCATCGTACTGAGCAACGCGGTAAAGAGCAAGCTGCAGTTTCCCAAAACTCATCTGCATGGCATGAAACAAGCGCATGGCTATCCCAGCCCATAGCAAGTCACTGCCTGCAAAATGCCAAGCACTGAAGTTCACATAAATGAACCTGACGTTATGGTGGTTCTGGTTCTCCGGGGTCCAGACCAGTGTGCAGAAGAGCAACCTCCACATGAGGGCCAGGAATGAAGGCTTGGATTTCCGTCCGTTCTTGTATTTCTGCTCAATCCTTAAACACTCACGATTTGTGTACACTGAAAAAACAACAGTTTATTTTATACATAGTGGATGTATATATTTTAAATCCAAATGATTATGTTATACAGGATCATTAAAACAAATAATCATATCATGGCAATAAATCCATTTGCACTTAAAGAGCTGGATGAGTTTTAATCTAGGATATCATGTACTAGAGTCAGAGAAAAGTGTAGATTTGACATGAAAATATAAAAAAAATTCCATTTTATTACACACTTCTACTGTCATTTTTAAAAATAACCCATGTCAAAAATATATAAATCATTATCTTAAAAAAACAAAAATAATGTGATTCCAAACTGGTAAAATTGTCTGTTAAAACTGTATAGATTTTATTGATTAAATTTTTAAATGAAATATCCTGGAGCAAAGAAGTAAATCCAATACCATCTCCAGGGAAAACAATCAGCCTGCACTGCCATGTGAGAAGGCAAAATAAAGAAAATGGATGTAGGGTTCTAGAGTAGTCGTGTTTGTCATCTGTCTTGCAACATCTCACAGCCTCATTATTCTGTGAGTTTTATTATCTGAGCTTCAAGCTTAATCTGAAATGTGCAATATATCTGCAAAGGTTGAAAAAAAAAAAAGAAGAATTTCTGTTGAGGCGGGACCTTCAGGGTACAGCAGCACTACTTTTCTTTTCCATGGAGGCCTGTCATCACTCCTGCACCTTCTATACTCTAGCCTAGCAGACGTCACTTGTCTTTGTATTCTACTTTCACATTTCTGTCACCACATATTTTTTTGAAAATGGTGAATTCATTTTTGTCGCCTGCTTTTTTTTTTATTTTTTGTACTTTGTGGTATATATTTCACATTCCTGAAAACCTCAAAGAAGATTTTTCACCATGTTAAAAAAAGCCAATCCTTGACTAGCTGACCTTGAGTAAAAAGCAAAAAGGGAGAAAATTCCATTTATGTCTGAATCTTAAATGCAGCCAAATCATTTCAAAGAAGCTAATTCAGGTTTTAAGTGTTTGACTACATATTCTGTAGCGTGTTGCAGTATTGTGTCAGCACAGTATGAACATGAAGAGGCGTAGCTGCACAGTCACCACATCACAGCTTCACACATCCCTGTCATGTTCAGTAACATGCGAAACATGCAAATCATCTGAGGTGCAAACTAGTCATCAGCGTCACACAGTGGCAACCTGAAGACTGAACTTAGTCACAGGTTTAAGTGGCTGTTCTGGAAACAATCTGCCGGCACTTTTCACATCATTTACCTTCAATTTGATCGAGAATCACATCCAGTCGATCCTGACAAGAAGAGTAGAGACCCACTGTTGTCGGAGATGAGACCCTTGTCAGTGTCTTGGACAGAGCGTACGCATAGATATTATCTAAAGGCAGATTTATAAGGAAATGGTTAACATGGCTTACTCATTATGATGCTAGTATTGACTGTTCTGCTCCTTGTATGTTTGGCAATGATATTTTTTTAAGCTCTGGACCAAATATTAAACTCACCCCCATAAAAAAACAACAACCCTAAACCTCCTATGAACCTTAATGTTCTCTACAAACACCTCATGGTACCTTAGCCTTGTTTCTAACACTCTGCCTGCTGCTAGAAAGGAACATTTCAGGCTTTAATTCATCAGTAAATGGTAAATTGCCTGTACTTATATAGTGCCTTTTTGAGTCAGGGGACTCCAAAGTACTTCACTCTACATTCAGTCAGCCTGTCATTCCCACACTGTGAATGTGTGAGTGAATGGGGAAATTTCTTTTAGCAGCTACTATACTTTGTTTTCTACAGAGGAACAGTGCATACATCTTGTCTGTTCTGTTTTTAAAATTAAGATTAACCAACACGCTTTGAAGCATTTTTAATACTGAATGCTTGTAACATTTACACATGAACGTTTCTAAAACCTTTCCATATTTAATCATGTTAGAAACGTTTCAGTGCAGCTCTGGCTCTATGTATAGATTCATTGTCTAGTCTGGACTCCAGTCCCAATATTTGTCAGCTGTTAAAAGGGTTTCCTTCATGAATTCCTGGTATTTAGCTCCATTTACGTCTCCATCAAGTCCAACCCCATAGCATAACGCTGCCACCACCATGTCCAATGACAGTGAGTAGTTTTAGTGTGGTGTCCAGTGTTAATTCCCAAAACATTCAGCATCTCATCTTTTCCAAGGCACATTTTTTCACCCGTGTCTTCCATTGGCTTTTCTTTTAATGCTTTGTCATTGACCGCTCTTTTAAACAGACTAGCCTTCTAGAAAAAACAGCTATTAACTGTTTCATCAGCAGATTCTCCCACATGAGCCGTGGAGGTACGAAGCTTCTTCTTCCAATCAAGCTCAGATGCACAAAGTTTTTAATTCAGCAAGTGTGTTTCCATTTACAAAAACAACATTGACATGCAGAAAAGACCTATTCGTGGCACATTAAATGTCACAGAAAATGAAATATGTTGTATTAGACAGTTTTGGGGATATTACCCTATATATAGCATACATTTTTAATCCTGTTGCCAACATTTTCTTTATAATATGTTAAAGGCCCCCGCCTCTCACCTATTGACTGCTTGAGATAGGCACCAGCACCACTCGCGACCCCACTCGGGACAAGTGTGTCAGATAATGGATCGATGGATGGATATGTTAAAGGCATTGGAAACTGGCACTGTTCTGATGCAGGATGGTAAAGTTTGCAGATGTAAAGGAGAAGGTAAAACCCGTGGGCTGTTATATGTGTTGGATTTCCTGGTGAAAACCACTACAGTCTTGCAATGTTTTTGCACCAATTGTGTCATGAGTTGCAGGAGCTGTTGAAGCACCAGGAAAGAGACATATTACTTTTTATGCCCTGTTCCATCTATTTTTGAATTGGTTTAGTTTGGATGCTGTTGTGTTGAAATTTCCAGAAAAAAACAACAACTGGGCAACAACTGCCAAAGCACTCAGACTCCATCCTCTGTTGATTCCTGCTTTTACTTTATCCAAACTCTCAAACAGCAGATGTTCATTAATTTAGTCCAGGCAGACACTTTTCACCAAACAGGATAAAAATCAGAGGATGAACCCACACAGAGCTGCCACTGAGTCAGATAATAATGTTGGCGAAGTGAGTTAAGGGCGATTCATTTGCACCTTGGGAGAGAGTGAAAATCAAGTCCTTTTGAGGAGAAGGAAAGTACTCTTCTACACAAGCATGCATGTCTTGTGAAATAACTCACCTGTTGTTAGCGCCTTCATGATGGCTGTGGGATGGGGCATGCAGCTGCTACAGAAAATGCCTTTGATCTGTGAAAGATAAGAAACAGCAAGGCTCTCAGCTCAGGACATTTTGGAGGAGATATCCCTGCAGCGGTGTGTAATCTGTTTAGCTCCGGCTTTCTCTTCAATCCTCTCCTCTCACATCTCCTCCTCTCATCAAAGCTTTGTAGGATCAATACATATCATAGCATATCTACCCGGAAATAAACTATTGATCACTCATAAAAGTTTGATCATGGAAGGATTTAATGAAGGATATTATTTGTTAATGCGGTATTTAGCGCTACTTCACTGGGTTTATTTGACAAATGTTTAAAAATAGATATTGCTGCCTTTACCTGTAAGCAAAAATAGGCTTTTTGTTTTGGTACATTATATCAAAGTTTTTTGGTTGTAGAACTTAGAGTACGGTAATCATTTATTAATAAACAGATTCTGATAAAATATTAATGAAAAATATATCAACTAATGAATTGGCATTAAAAGCAGCTGCAGCCAAAGCGCTTTAATTAAATCAGTCCATGAAAATAATAACCATCCTGTATCTGCTAATAGGATGTGCAAACATAATAAATAGGAAATCACAAAATATATGACAAGAGTAATTATATGTGATAATAAATAGATGGTGAAAATTGCAGCTCTGCTTTATTTGTATTTCTGATTCATACTGAACAACTTTAATGCAGTCCCGTCAAAGAATCCTCGCTGGGTCTAAAAGGACCCAATCAGAAAGTGAGTTATGTCCTTTTAAACAACTTTGCTGTTCATGTAATTAGCTGTTTACTTGTGATTTATTGTCATCATCAACCATCCTAATGTTTCCTGACAGGTTGCTGTGACATATTCCAGTAGTTTGTGCTTCTGAAAGCCTTGTTGATGCACTTTTAAATTAGTTGTCGTGCAGCGTGTTGCAGAGCATCCATCCCCAAAGGCAGCCAAGGAGATAATCTATTCTCAATTGGATTCATTTTGGCTTTAGGAATGGAGACATATTTTATTTGCAACTGTAACTTTTTTTTTTTTTCACAAAATAAGTTTTGTTAATTAAGTTTAATAAAATATCACAGTCTACTGACATGCCTCAATGTCTTTGTTTTTTCATGACAATGGTTTTGGAATTTAGGGTCTTTTAAATTGTCTTTAAAGGCTTTTAAAGCTGTTAACTTTCTTTGGTGCAGTTTTTCCCTACAGCCCTGCATTTGCAGTTTAGTAGTAACACATTTGTTTGGTAAGTGGAAGAGTCCTCTTACTAGACTTTTGAGCTCAACTTGGACTCCCTTACTCCCCAGTTCCAACTCCATCCCTCTCCTTATAGTCTTAAGGTTTTGGGAAAGGTTTTAGACATCCGCTGTGAATGATTACTCATGGTTTTCATAAAAAAAAACATGGAAAACTGCCCTCATTTGTGTGGTCGGCCAGGGATACAGAAAAACAACCCTAGATTTAGCCCAGACCATTTTTATAGAAACGTTCTGATTCACAATAAATCAAGTTTCTAACTCTGAACCCAGCTAGGCACTGATAATGTTGAAGAAGTAACATGAATTTAGTACAAAGCCAAAAGAATTGCTCTTCTTCACATCTCGTTTAAATCAGTAAAGAGCACACAACCAGCTCAGATTTATCCGTTAACTAAATTTCTTCAGGTCAGTTCATAATGTACTTTTTGGACTTTAAAATCCAGCCAAAATAAGCTCCCACCGGTGGTGTCCTAAGATCTCCTTCATATCAATGTTTTAAAGGACATCAACCCTTGCTGTGTTCACAAAATATTTTGTCTGTCTGTTCAATATAAGTCAAATGTTCATATTTTTAAATTATCTCAATATTTTACAAATGTAGAGGCTTTAAAATAGTCCATCCATGTTAAGCAACCATTTTAAAATATGAATACGGTAGCTTTTTTAAGATTAAATATCAGCCTGTCCTTTTATATAAGATCTCATAATATAATAGCTTTAGAATATTTTCTTTGTTCTGATAAAGGAATGTATTTTCTCTGATGTCTGTTATCTACACTGGATTCAAATCATAAAATGGGGGAAGAAATTAGTATTCAGATTTTAAACTCACAAAGTGGAACCAGTTTGTTAGAGACTTCAAAAAACAAAACAAAACAAAAAGAGCAACCAGGAGCAAGAGTTCAAACTAAACCTGTAGGCAAATGAACAAAACCGCCTACAAACTCCCCCATGATCTCTTTGTCCCTTAAGCAGAAAATGGTGCTTCAGTTTGTGCATGAGCATTAAACATATTACTGGCTCTTTTATCTTTGTGGTTTAATGCTTGGACTTCCACCTCCAGAATAACTCCCATATTTGCAACCTCCACGCTCCACTGCATCTTCCACTAAAGATCCAGGAAGCATGTATGATCTTTCCTACATGCCATCTGATAACATGCATCCATCGTGCCTTTGACATAGGTGAGATCACCATTTGTCCAACAGAGTTTAGTCAGAATACACATTCTCGTTTGGTATTTAGCCACACCTTATCTTTAACCTGCAGTTTTTAAGCATCAACAATCACAGGTTTAATATTTTGTACTTTCAAAGATCATCCCTCTAACATCTTGTTTTAAATAGACTATGACAGATTCTCCCAAGTTTATATTGTAATCATTGTTTAAAACAGTCCATATCAGCATTTGATTTTCTTTATAAATTTAACTTACAGAGAGAGAAGGAAAATAGGAAGTGATGCTTTGCTTCCTGTATTTACAGCTTCCCTTAAATACTGGATCCACGGCACCAGATGAGGAGGGACAAGAGAAACTTATAATTGGATAAAGTCAGTTTTAAGGTTGTGTTTGCTGCTGTTTATTCTTGTTAAAAAGCCTGAAAGTGTTTGAGCAAAGATAATTCAGTTGTTCAGGAGGAGAGAACCTGGTTGCCTCTGATGTTAATTTTGATTGCTTAAAGTGAAAATTTTTGGGTTAAGTCTGGGGTTATTTTTTTATTTTGTTATATTTCTATGTTAACTAACCGCCTTGCACAACTGCCAGCTGTCCTTCTTCAGCCCCTTTGGAAAAGTTGTACCCAACTATTTTTCTTTTCTTAATCAACATAAACACAATGAGGTGCTCATTAAATTCTGGTAGCTTTTAAAAGTATTAATTACTAAATAGGTTGTTGTTTCTTAATGTTTTTATCTTTTTGTTTACTATTGTTGTTTGGGTCTTACTATATTGTGACACCCTGAGTGCTCTTCATTGATTATTTAAATGCAAACTTACAATGCCCTCTGAAGTCCGGAAAGTGGGAGGAGCCTCAGTGTTTCTGGTGGGAACGCCCCTCTGACAGGCGGGAAGTGAACAGCAGTGGAGTTGGGGGCTGAGGGCTTATCTGCATTTCAGCAGAAACTTCTTTATGCATCGAAGAGGAGCTGCTGTGTCCTACTAGCCCTGGTACCATTAGTACTGTTGAGTTTTTGTATCTGAAGTTTTTTGCTTTGGGCGGAAACTTTGTGTTCCGCCGAGCAGAAGTAGCACGCGCAGCTGTGCCTTTGGTTTGGGTTCCTCTGTGTGGATTGGTGGAAAAACGCAGACTGGAGTTTGTCGTCCTAATTGTTTTTTGTCTGAAGCTGACTGGATTGGACTGACAACGCTGATACGTCAGTTGGATATATTTGCTGGTCCCTTCTTCTTCTTTAAATTGAACTGAATGTAAGGGGCAATGATTATTTAAGTAAAATAACTTCTATCTTTGAATATTTTTTTCTTGTTTCAATATATTTAACTCTTGAGTTTTCCACAATAATTTTTAGGGTGACGAGCATAGTTATGTGTTTACATTCTTTGTTTGGTTTCTGCATTCCAAGCAAAAAACATACAAATAAAAATCGTCTGTCAGGAGAGAGCTCTGACTGGCATCCAATTCTTTAATTATAGGAAGCCGTCCCATAAGGTTTTTAGTTTTTAGTTTTTTTTTTGGTTTGCAATTTCATTGTCTCTTGTGTGCTTCCCTTTGTGCTAATTAGTCTCCCTCACAGCTTCCCTACTTTATTTCCCCATAGCTGTTCCACATCCCCTTTGATTAGCTCCCTTTCCTTGACCATTTCCCATCCTGCCTCAGTATATAATGTTCCTTGTTCTCACTGTTTGTTGCTGGATTCTTACATTATGCTCCCACTGGTTTCTTGTCCCATTCTCTTCATGCAATATATTTAAAGTCCAGGAATACAATATAAAGTGACTTAGTTGAAGAAGCTTTAACTAAGTCAAACCTGACTTGAACAACCTCAAGATTGTGTCATGATATATGTGCGTTGACTCAGCTTCAGTCTGAACTCAAGATGCCAGACACTATTTCATTGGACTTATTTCAAGAGGTTCTTAAAGATGGACAACAAGCTTCTATAAACGGTGTCACTGCTTTTAAATTGTTTTTAGTGTTTTATATTTGTGCATATGTATTAATTGGTTTTATGTTTGTAACCAGGTTGCAGTGTATTGCAGATCTCTGCCCAGGTCCCCCTTGAAAATGAGATCTCAACGGGGTTTACCTAGTTAAATAAAGGGAAAAAAATAAAATAAAAATAAAATAAATATATATATATATATATATATATACCATACTTCTTAGATGTATGTTCAGGGGCAATATTTAACCCCCTTTAGGAATATTATATTTTGTGTCTGACCAAAAGTAACAGCCTGCTTGTCTGAGTGATCCTCTGGCTGAACAGTTTTGTTGTATTAATTTTGGGAATGATTTAATTCAGTTCACAGTAAGGTGTCCTAACTCTTTCTTTAATGCTGCTTCTTTTGAGGAATCCAGAAGGTTTCAAAACTAAAGTCATTCCCCCCCCCCCCCCCCCCCCCCCTCTTTGGAATAAAGCAGAGTTTAGACCTAAAATACAGCTACAAAGCGCTCCTTCCTTACACTTCTCACGGTCTGATTAATTCTTTATAAAGTATCACCTTTTAGTTTTACCGTGTAGAGTTGAATTAGCTTTACTATTTTTGTTCTTAGATTTTTTGTGTCTCTTTATCTATTCTTAAAGGACGGTCTCAGTCTTATTAATGATGAATACCTTTTTTTGTTTCCAGGTTCTCATTAAATTTTCTGATTTATTAATTCAGTGGTCATTTAACTTTGATTCTAAACAGATTAAATATACAGAAGTTCCTGGCTTCCCTTTAAATGTGGTGCAGAAAGCTCAAGGGAAACTTCCTCTTTCAAGTTAATGTTTAATAGTTTATAAGGCTGATTAGTTACACAGTATAAAATATATTAATAAAGTAAAATCATGCTGCAGGCTTTAAGAGGATGGCCTGAAACCTGTCCTCAGGTTTGCCCGTCACATAAGCTGAAGCCATTGTTCTTTTATTGATACGTTTATAACCACATACTGTTTAAACCCTGTTAATGATTGCTATTTACTTCACCTTCTGCTTTTAGAAAACTATTTTCGATTCGTGTCTGAACTTGTTTGAGAGAGTCAGATCGACTGCTCAGCAATTACAAACACACTTCAGATTTCTGCTGAAGTTTATGTTTAACTTTCATCGTTAAAGCTCTGATCAAAGTGCACAAAACAATAATTTTAAATCATCTGTACCATTAAAATCTTTGGCCGAGGGTAGAGACATCTTTCAGTTTTAACAGGCTTACCTGGATGATGGTGGTGATCTCTTCTTCAGGTCATCTCATATCAACAGTTTCTGCACACTAAAACAAAGAAAGTCAGCAGCAGGTAAAGGTGAAAGGTGTGGTGGTGCTCATGATAGACTTTATAGCACTGAAAGGAAAGAAAAAAAAAAATCCTGATAACCAGAGACTGTGTCTATAGACCCAACGCTTTCCAGGAAGTGAGGTCATGAACAAGACTGGGTTACAGCATGCCTGTAACCCTGGGGGGGGGGAGTACTGAGACCATTACACAGCACACCTTCTGGCAACAACTTTACACTATTTTTAATTTGTGGAAATGAAACAAATGAGTGATTCTTACTTTGAAATTTAGGATGTGCGTGAGTCATGAGCTGCATCTGGGAGTCCCTCATGTGGAGCTTAACTTGCTCCTTTTGCTGGCCTGATATAGGTAATGTGCCAAAATTCTTTTCTATTTTCTATTTTGCCCAGAAAATAATTTGTTTTAACAAAACTGTTTAGTTGAGATAAAAAAAGCAAACAAAAGACAAACTAAAGGCCCAATTTTTCTTGAAATGTGTCTTTTTTTGCAGGTTTTTGCTTATTTCCATCACCTTGTTAGGCTTTCACAGCCATGGTTCGAAGCAGAAACATTCCAAAGAGACCATTGAAATTGTTTCCAAGTGGCTTCATCAAGCTTACAAAAAAGGCTGTGACCTAAATGAAATGCAATGCCATTAAAATTAGACTGCATGAATTATAATGCTGCACAGGTTCATTTCTTTACTGAGCTGTTTATCTGTTGTGTTCTTATAATTATTCAAGATTTAAGCACATTCAACAAAAATGCTTTAACATGCAAAAAGTAGAAGATGAACATCACACCTGGAAAGTTTTTCAAAGTGCAATTATAAAATTTATCGCCGTTTCAGATGATAAAATCAGTCCAACACCTCAAAGAGTAAAAAGCTAAATCTTAAGGTGCAAAACAAAAGTTTAATTAATGTATTTGATTAATACTAAAAGTACTCGGCCTGAGGGTGAGTGGTTATTTTTGATTAATTGTGGAATTGATTGTTCGACTACTTTAATTAACTTGATTGTCATAGAAAGAGTAAGGCTGTGTGTGACAGACAGTTCTCACCATTACTTGGCCAGAAGTCTTTTTAAAATGATACCAAATAAACAAGATATTATCAACCAGTCTTCATACCCTTATAGCACCTTGCCCTCTTACCGAATAAACTGTGCAATTAAGGTTAATGAATTCCCTCAGATGACTAATCCAAGATAAACATCGAACACAGATAAAGTGTAGCTCGGTACGAGGGCAATTCAAGAGATTTACTTCTAAAAGTAAAGGGAAATTAAACTAATGTAGTAATATCTTCGGTTCAAAGAACAGGCAGGGGTTATTCTGGGAGGTGGGGGCTTAATGAGGACCATATTTACGAGCCAGGATGTGTTAACAAGTCTGAGAGGGTAGGATATATATTTTTAAAGTCCCATTGGAATCCAACAGAGGGTGCTAAAGCATTGTTCATGAAAGTATAGTGACATCAACAGCCGTCATGTATTTTTTTCTGTTCAGTATGTCAAAGCATGCCTGGCACTAAAGTAGGCATTTTGAAATGAGCAATGGGGTGTGGCTGGAGGATTAGGATGTGCAACACTTCTCCAAGAAGGAGGGTAATAGTTTTTTAATGTATAGATTGCAGAAAAGATTTTAACCACTGCTTGTTTTTTTTATGTTTTCTTTCTATATAATTTATATATACCGGTATATAAATTAAGACTGAAGTGATGCATTATTCTAAGATAATTCTCCACTATAAGCCAAGTTTTGATTTATTATCTCTTTGGGAAATAACTTATTGGCGTTTAAATTTTATTATGGCTGTCGAATGAGGTTATCTTTGGCCTTTTTTCTTTTAAGTAAAAGATGTTGAAACAAAATGTGTCATTGTGACAGACAGCTGCTTATAAAGTGTATATTTTACAAATTTATTATAGATTTCAAAATTAATTCACATTTTAAATAGTTGACCTGGGTTGAGCATCCTTTCATACTTGAATTATTCATAGGTCAAATCGAGCTGGCTTAACAATGAACAATGATAATAAAAAATTCTAAAACCAACTACTTACTGAACACAAACAGACTCAAAACAGCTTAAGTACAAACTGAAAAAAAAAACATGTACAATTTCTTCAGAAGACCAAAATATATATTGATCAAAATCCTGTTAACTGGCATAAAGGTGTGGCTTCTAGGATGCAAATTATTAAAAAATGAGGATATTTTTCACGGGGGTGTTAATAACCTTTCTATTCTTCTGTCTAAATAAATGTTTGCATTTATATTTTTTCAATCACATAGAAACATGATGTACCCCTTTACATATACGTCTAATCGCATGGATCCCTTTAAATTTGATGCCCACCCCTTCATAGACCTGGGTGGATAGCAAAGAGCTGGCCATTAGTGAGCAAGCTCTCCCTCTAAGAGAAAATTCAGAGAAATCACTCCTGGAAGTCCTCCGCATTTTGATCCTGTCTTACATTACACTGTAAATACTAAGTGGCGGTTTGACTTTGCAGTTGTTTTCTGTAATACTGTTATTAAACACATCAATGTGCTGTCAATGATATTAATTTCTGTAAAATATTCGTTGAAGAAGTCTGTGTAATGTGCAAATATGAAGATGGGTAAGGAAATAATGTATTTGAAGGATTTTAAGGTGGTAGTGCTCATAAAGATAACTTTCTGAGTATGAAAGGACATGAATACCCTATCCTCTCTGGGTTCTGGCTCCCCAGGGCTCAAATGGATGAGACTCTGTCTATGTCTGCTCTGCCTGTGTCCCTGTAGTCTGGGTTGCCTTATAACTGGGGCTCTGGTCTCCCCCTTGTCAGCCCTGTGTAGGTTGGGTCTTGGGCCACATACACCTGCTGTTGAGCATATTCTACTACTGAAGAAGCCTTCTAAAAACTCTTTTATATAAATA